CACACACAGTGTGCACCAGATCAGAGCAGTGGCCCTAGCCGCGGCTCATCAAGAGGGCCGCCGGCTAGAGCCAGGGCCAACCGGGCCTAAGGCACAACCCTAGGAGAGGGCTGTTGCCTAGGCCGGCCATGTGACGGCTTATATGGGGCGGCTCTTGAGGAGTCCCGCCCCAGGTCCCTGAGTATTGATCTGAGAGGTTTTTGTGCAGTGGCCGGGCCTTTGCGGCAGCTACGTGTCGTTTCGGGCCAGGTGTCACGGGCCCTTATGGCTCGGTACCTCGGGGCCATCTCGATGCACGTTTTGACTTTAATTTCGTTGAATTTGGATAAAAAATGAGTATGTTATGATGGTTTTATTGAAGAATTGTTTCACAGTATATATTATGAAATTCACTGTGTATGAGAAATGCTTTGCTTTGTGTCTGGTGTTATTTTTGTATTGAGTAGAGAAGCATGATCACTTTGGAAATATGATTTAACATGAAAGCATGACTAGAATGTGTTGTTTGATCAATGAGATTTGAAACATGTTTTATTGATAAAAATATATAGAATTTGCTAAGTTGCAAACCGAGTATGATATTGTATCCTTGAGAGTTCTATGGTTATATACATGGATTTGGAGCATGTTGTAGAGTATTTTGCATCTCACATATATCATATTTCAAAAAGGCATCGGGGGCCAACGTGAGCCCATGTATTACTTTCAAAAATCCATAAGCATGTGGTATATCATTATTTGATGCATTGAGAAGTTGTAGAGTTGTTGCATGCATGAGTTTGATGCATGAGAGATATATCTATGTATTATCTATATCGGTGAGGTTTTGGAGGACCCCGTTTGGACTATGTCCTCTCGGATGATTTTATGGACATTGCGGTCCCAGTATATGTAACGCGGTGTATTCCCACGTTACGAGGTTGGAAACTGCCCGCCAGGCTTGAAATCCTGGTCAGGTGGTGTGCACGCTAATAGTTCGATACCTGATTCCACAGAGTTTGAGCATAGAACCAAGAGAGTGGTTCGGTGGACGAGCAGAGTATTAGGTCGGCTAGACGCCATGCCCGGATAGGTTCATTCACGCTATGTTCAAGTTCCTACCTCGTCCATTTAAAGAGAAAGAATGAGTCATTGCGACTCTAAGAAAGAAAGAATGAGTCATTGTAACTCCAAGAAAGAAAGAAGTGAGTCATTGCGACTCTAAGAAAAGAAAGAAAGAAAGTCATTTATGACTCAATGAGACCTCCACAGAAAGTATTCTATTTTACAACGAGTGTATGAGTATATCTATAGTATTGCACGAGATTGCATATGAGTACATTTATAATATTGCACGAGATTGCATATGAGTATATCTATAATATTGCACGAGATTGCATATGAGTATATCTATAGTATTGCATGAGATTGCATATGAGTACATTTATAGTATTGCACGAGATTGCATATGAGTATATCTATAGTATTGCACGAGATTGCATATGAGTATGTCTATAGTATTGCACGAGATTGCATATGAGTACAGTATTGCACGAGATTGCATATGAATATAGTATTGCACGAGATTGCATTTGAGTAGAGTATCGTATGAGATTGCATAATGAGAATGTTGATTTAAGATTGTATATCGAGCATGATTGTTTTGTTACACTTTGAAGTCTTGTATATCCAGTTTACATGATGAGAACTTGAGAGTATGAAGATAACTTTCGTATGGTTTATTAGCATGAAATTACTTGTACGCATGAATTACTTGATAAGTTTGTTGTGACGTTTACATGTTGAAATATCTATGTTGTTAAGTCTTTTGTTTTGAAGCATGCCTGTTGATATTATAGGTTGCAAGTATATAGAAAGTATGTGGTGTGATTATAATTGCCTATGAGATGAGATTGTTGTTTATGAATGTTATCAAATGTTTTCCAAAGTATACTCTATAGTACTTTACAGGTTCGAGTGTGGTTATACTTAGCTTCGTGCTAACGGGTGTTTTCCTATTTGTCTATGTGTTGCTTGTAAAACCCCTTTCAGGTGGACCCAGCGTTGCGAAGTGATCGAGTTAGACTAGTCTATTAGTCTAGAATTCTAAACTCTTTGTGTCTTGTTATATTTTTATCTATCGGAATTTAGACTCATGATGTTTGGATTGTGTTTTGACGATGTAGACATCGGGGAGTGTTTATCCCCCTTATGCTTTAAATTAAGTTGATGGATTGTTAGTTATTTATTTTATTTCTAGTTCTATCCGTGCAATCACCGCGGAGTGGTGATTGTGGTGGTGACACTCCCACTAATTTTCTTAATAAGTTTTTATCCGCTGCTTAGTTATGTTAATTATGGTTTAGAATTGTAATTAAGTTTTAGAAAAAGTGGGTGTTACAGCTCTGCCCAGGTCGAAGGGGTGTTATAGTCTCCCCAAGACTGTCGGAGCCGCTGTTGACCGAAGAAACCAAAACCACTCCCTGTCGACATTGCTGCTTGCTTGGTCAAGAGGGAAAGGAAGAAAGAGTGGAAAGGAGGTGTTTGGTTGCTGATGAAATGAAGAACTCGGCTAAGCTTGGAGGAGAGAAATTGATACAATACACACATACACACTATAGGTAGTAGGGTTACCCAATGACTGGGTTGGGCTAAATAAGGAAGGTTGGACTCATCACAAGGCCATAATTAGAAGGTAGACTTAGTATTTAGGCTTGGATGGTTGGGCTCAAGACTAGTTAGGAAATAAATACTCTTTGGGCTTAGAAAGGGGTAGATCTTTAGGAATGAAATCATTTTGGGCTCAACAATGACAACCGTTATGCCATGGAACCGTGTTCACCATGAATGGTGAACACGGTTCCAACTATTGGTGCACATATTTTGAATTAAATATTTATTGGTTAAAGTTGTTTAGAGTTGTTAGAGTCCTCAGCTTATCTTGTTCTGCTCCACCTATTGTGGTGCTTAGACTAGTTATAAATACTCTTGTATGTTTACGCAGAATAAATATCAGACATTATTTTAATTCACTTGGTATCAGCCTTACTCTCGATCCTATGGCCAACCCCACCGATGCTACCACCGAGGCAGTAGCCACGACCACCCCCTCACTGGACGTAGTTCCGGTCGCCGATCAGCGACTGCCCAATGCCCTTCACCAGGCTCACCACTACGTATCCCTAAAGCTGACAGCCACGAACTACTTGTTCTGGAGAATATTTATTGGTTAAAGTTGTTTAGAGTTGTTAGAGTCCTCAGCTTATCTTGTTCTGCTCCACCTATTGTGGTGCTTAGACTAGTTATAAATACTCTTGTATGTTTACGCAGAATAAATATCAGACATTATTTTAATTCACTCCAACGGTGTTAGTACACCGTTATCTTTTTTTTTTTTTTTTAATTGCGTGACTTTTCTTCTTCATTTTCGCATTTCGCGGTTTCACTTTAATTTGAGGTGAGCAATGATTTCAGATATTCATAAATTATGAATTCATGCCTGCACATTCACTTTGGAACCATGCCTACACATTCCCGTCCGAAATCACGGACATTCATAAATTATGAGTCCATGCCTGCACATTCACTTTGGAACCATGCCTACACATTCACTTTGGAACCATGAGATTATGAATTTTCTGTTATAAGATTATGAATTTTCAGTTATGAGATTATGAATTTTCTGTTATGAGATTATGAATTTTCTGTTATGAGATTATGAATTTTCTGTTATGAGATTATGAATCTACATTACATTCATAATCTCATAACAGAAAATTCATAATCTCATAACAGAAAATTCATAATTTAATAAATATTTTACTTTTATGCGATTATGAATTTTCTGTTATGAGATTATGAATTTACATTACATTCATAATCTCATAACAGAAAATTCATAATTTGATCAAACGCGCGCCGTTAACTCCATATCCGCGAATTTTTTATTTATTTTTTTTTTTTTTGCGTAAAAACGACGTCGTTTGGACTTGTGTTCACCATTCACGGTGAATACGTTTCCAGGGCATAATTTGTGCAACAATGATTAATAGGCTCTTAGGGATTAAAACCATTATTTGGGCTTAGGGTATTTGGGTACAAAAATACCGGTTCATAATAATAGGTAGACCCGAGCCCATTTTAAATTAAATAGCTATATAAATATTTTTAATAAAAATATTTAATATCGGGACTATAGTTTATTTTATGAAAATACGGGGTGTCACATGGTCTGTCTAGGTCTATTTGCAGATCTTTGAGAAGAAAAGTGAGCCATTGCACTTCACAAACTATAGCAACAAGGGCACGATATTCTGCTTCGAATGACGACTGAGAATCAGTAACTTGCTTCTTTGACCTCCATGAGATAAGAGCTGAGCCTAAAAAACACACAGAAACCGGTGATGAATTTTCGTGTTGTTGAACACGTAGCCCAATCCAAATCGGAGAACACGTTAAGCTGCATGTCTCCATTCTTTGGATAAAGAATGCCGACATTTTTGATATAGCGCAACACTCTATGCGCATCAAACATTTGCTTGCTGGTGGGGGAGTCAACGAATTGGCTTAGCTGTTGCACTGCAAAGGAGATTTCCGGTTGAGTTGTCGTAAGGTATAACAGGCGACCTATCAGTCTTATGTAGTTTGCGACATCAGCTAAAACATCACTATTACCTTTTTCCAACACTCGTGTTGTATGGCTTCATTGTTGAACACGTTATCCTATATCTATATCTATATACATATTAAAGCAAGAGGATTTCAGCATTTTCCCGCCCATGCTAAACGTTGTCGTTTTTTTATTTTTTAATTTTTGCTGCTTAGTTGGCCAATCAAATTGGTCTACTGTCCCGCCCATCTAAAATTGATCAAAATCCTATCGTGTGAGGCCTGATTTTTAGGGAGTGGCTTATTGCCTGAGTTGATAGGAAGCGTGTGTTTTCAAGTAAATGGGTATGGGAGCGGTCTATTCTACAGAGTTTGTATTTTTTTATTTTTTGCGTGTACGGTTGTCTTGCTGCTGTATCTCAATTCCACGCTTATATATAGATACATACTCAGAGGCTTCATCGTCCATTCAACGCAAAGCGAAAAAACATATTATATGCAAACACAGCCAAAAACAAATTACGGGTTTATGGAATCAACGAAGATGTTACAGGTTTCTGAACACTTTCCACAAGCTGATACAGCAACGGCATCCATCTCTGGTCACTCAATGGGTGGTTATGCAGCGCTAACAATCTACCTCAAAAACTTGGACAAGTAGAAGGTAAGTTAATTTCATGTTCTTGAACAAAAGAAATGGTTACTCATTTGCTTTCCAACAAAACCTGTTATAGCTACGTGTCATCTTCACTACATTTACATGGTGTGTGATCTGGATTACACGAGTAAGGGAATGGGTCAAGTGCCAATCAAATTTGATATAGTTTTTCATGGTTAAGATGTCCCAAATGGTTAAGTTAACCAACACTATCTGTTCTTATTGGCACTCATGTTGTTCTTATTGATACATTGCTGTTGTTTATTTAAAGTCAGTGTCAGCATTTGCTCCAATTGTGAATCCTGTTGAACTGTTCTTAGGGCCAGAAGGCTTTCACAAACTACTTGGTGAAAATAAAGCAGATTGGGAGCTATGATCTTGCAAGCTAGATTAAATAATTACAATATATATATATATATATATATATATATATATATATATATATATATATATATATATATATATATATATACACACTTATTGAAATATGAATATAAATATATAAATTCTTACTAAAGTGTGACTATAAATATATATAAATACTTATTATAATTGTGAGTAGTAATCTATTATAAATTGAAATTTGATAGAAGGTAATATAACACAATATTACTACTTTTCCCATACTCCTAGCCCTACTAGCAGGCATTAATTGTTGATGGTAAGCTTTGACTCTCATATACTAATGTTTGACAGTGAGTTTTCAATTCTCTAAAAGTTGGTGTCTATACTCTATACTAGCAGGCATTAATTGTTGATGGTAAGCTTTGACTCTCTTATACTAATGTTTGACAGTGAGTTTTCAATTCTCTAAAAGTTGGTGTCTATATATACATGTCATTTAAGAGACAAAGATCTACCCTCTATATTCATTCTCAAACAAAAGTTTTGTAAGTTCATAGTTAAGAATTGCAAGAACAATGAAGAAATTGGCGGGGTCAACTACCATACATGGAAAAAGAAAACACGATGTTGAAGATAAAGGTACAATTAAAGCATACCTGCTACTCTACATTCAAACTCTATGAAATATTGACTTGATATTTCATCTGCAATATGTTCCTGATTTGCTTTACCTGTGTGTGAAATCTGCACCATTTTTTTTGAAGTAGAAATATGTGTTAAGTCTAGAAAAAATTATGCAATTGAAAGAAATTAAAATCAGCAATAAATGTTATTGTTTAAAGTGAAAAATTTTGTTCTTTCCTGCAACTATATATTAAATATGCAATTCTATTTTACAAATTTGTGATTCACTGTCTTCGTTAGTTTTTAAAAAAATTCTATCTGCATGTATATCTAGATATACACATGTAGAGTGACAGGAATAAATGAATAGTAAGCTGATATATATATATATATATATATATATATAGAGGTAGATGTAAAGAGAGTAGTTCAACAAATTATCAAAGAACATTATATTACCTGCGCTAAACTGCCTTCTCTGTATGCTGTTCTTTGTACGTGGCCTTAAATTGAGAGCTTAATTCCAGCTTTGTCCAATATTGCCATAGTTTTTTGTGGACATGTACATACAAATAATAGAAATGTTATATTATGCACTTTAAATCATAAAAATAAACAAAAATATTTAGTTTATTTATTTCAAAAATAATTATCTCAAATTTGTTGCTAACTGTGAAAGAAAGCAGTTCTAAAATATTATTGCATGTGTGAACCAAAAATAAAATCTGATATATAAATGAACACTTGAGATGTTAAATGTATATAGGATAATAATAAAGCCTTAATATTGCCGAAGTGTTTTGAGGACATGTGCATACAAATAATAGAAATTTTATATTCTGCATTTAAAAGCTTACACTCTAATGTTGAGGTAAATGAAAAACATTATAAAAAAAAAAAAAAAAAAAAAGCAAAAAATTAAATCATTGGAAATCTATTTTATACATGTTCTGTTATTATATTTTTAAAATATTTTAAAATATTTATTGATAAAAGTAATTAAAAAAGTTTCACATCATAACTGAAATATATTAAGTACATTTATGTGTAAAATAATGAACTCAGATTTTTCTCAACAGTTAAATAAACAATTCTCAAATTTTAATCGCATTTGAACTTAAATAAACTCCAAAAAAATCTGACATATAAATTGAACACATGTGATGTTAAATCTATACAATCTATACAATATATAATAATAAACCCTAATTTATCCGACAATATACATGCATATAAAAAATAAAAAATAAAAAATGTATATAAAAACGCCACATATTAACAAAAATATTGCACAGAACAGATATTTAAAAACAAAAAAAAAAACAAAAAAAAAAAACAAAACAAAAAAAAAAAAACAAACAAACAAACAAACAAACTTCAGGGATAACTATTTGTTGATATACGCATAAATTTTTAGATCTGAAAATTATTGCATGTGTATAGTCTTCTTAAAATCAAAATAAAGACATCCGTCTAAACAAGAATATACTTAATTAAATGCAAACTCAGAAAATTGTAGAATTTACCTTACAGATGTTGTAGTCTCTGTTCGATGCATGGTATTGTTTGCTTTGCCGCCCAGATTGTTTTCGCAAGACGAACACCTGCCGCTACCAGAATATGAAGCTGACTGCAAATCTACACCGCCAAACGCACTACGGGAAAGTTGAGGTTTTTCGCCTCTTCATTGTCGGTTTCCTCACGACGAAGAACCGCAGTGCCAACGCCGGAATCTGTGGGTAATCAGTGAGGAGTTGTGAGTCGGTTACATCAAAGCTCAGAAGTAATTGGTTAGTCAAATGAATAGACAAAAAAAAAAAAAAAAAAAAAAAAAAAAAAAAAAAGGAGATCGAGAGAGATGAGTAGAGATTATAGTGTGAGCAATTTCTTTGTGGTGAAGTTTCCAGAAACGATACATAGACTGTCGAGAGAGAACATAGAAGCGAGAAGCCGAGAATAGAGACGAGCTGCAATAACATCCAAGTGTTCTAGGTTTTTTAGGTCTTTTATATGTGGGCCGTGGGTCCTGAATTGGGCCGGTGGTTAGCATTTTGGATTGGTAGGATAAAAGTGCTGATTGTTACCCATGTGTGTGTGCGTGTGTATAATTGTTTAATAAATGGTCGGATTGTTTTCTAAATAAACAATTTAACTTTTTTTATAAATAAAAAATTGACTTTTTTTAAAATAATTTATACACTATATATATATAAATATATATAAACAAGAGCCAAGGCCTTAAGCTTTTTACAGTTGGACTACTGGGGTCATGGACAACTATATATTGCTTTGTCTAGAGTTAGCAATTCGAGAGGTCTTAAGTTACTTATTTGCAACAACAATAGAGAGTATATTTTTTAAACGTCGAATGTTGTATATAAAGGTGTTTAATAATCTATAAAATTTTTATATTATTAATTGTTTTCATATATATATATATATATATATATATATATATATATATATATATATATATATATTTATTTATTTATTTATTTATTTAACACGTGCATCGCACGGGTGGAGTACTAGTTACACTTAGACTCAACAAAATCTAAATACGCTTTTCCTAACAATCATAAAATCTAAATAACATTATATTTAGTATACCAAGATTTATAGTATTTTTCTTATCAATCATAAAATCTAAATAACATTATATTTAGTATACCAAGATTTATAGTATTTTTCTTATTTTTTGAATGTTATTGGTCCTATTATATTGTAGTATTTGTTCATATACTTTCTCTGAGGCTTGAACTCGTAACCTTCTAAATGAAAGTCCAACCCGGGTACCATTAGACTACATAGTCTTGGTCCAAGATTTATAGTATAATATTTGACAAGATAAATTGGTTTGACCGCCAATGAAAAGTGCTTGATCGGACTCTAATATATAGCCCTTTTTTTGCCATCAAATTCTTGAAATATTTAGGGTCGAAAAGTGTTGGGGTTAGATCAAGAGAAGCTTGCAAGTTGGAATCACCCCCATTCTAAGGGCAATTGGCTTGACGTTGGCTTACAAACTCGGGATCAATATCTTGATTGCTATAGATGCGCTTCTTGAACGTACGGCACTGGACAAACCCAAAGGTGTTTGTAGGTGAAAAATGCGCACAAATTTCAGCCATTATAATTTCGTCTAAAGTGCACAAATTTCAGTCATTAACTTCGTCCAGATTTACAGCTCTTTAAAAAAAAAAAAAAAAAAAAAAAAAAAAAAAAAAAAAAGCTACACTTGTAATTAACAAAAACTATGCACTTGAAAGCACAAAAACATGTACTTGAAGGCACAAAAATATACACCTGAAAGTCAAAGTTATACTCAATTGTTTAAGCGTCGACAATGTATATTGTTTATTTTCTTCGTTGTTGTCGTCGTTTCTCCGATGGTCGCCGGCAAGGCTCAAGATAGAAGATGAATGATTTACTCAAACCATGGTCGACGTGGATCTGCTCACTCCTGCTTAACATCGCCAGTCTACTTACAGTGGAGGTCGTCATTGCCGTCGCACTCAACCACCTCCGCCGCTACTGTTTATTTTCTTCATTGTTACGATGTCACTATTTCTCCGATGGTCGTCGGCGAGGCTCAAGATAAGAGATGAAGGATCTACAACGTGAAATTGGTACCATTTCTTTTCATTAAACAAAACGACCTCATTTTGAAGCTCGGTGCATAATCGATTATATTATGCACCGTGGTGCACGATATAATTTGCCTATTAGTATAGTAGATATTAAAAAAATACAATATAAAATTTAACATGGACTTTGGTCAATTAATTAAAAGAGTAAATACCTAAAATGGTCCCTCGACTATAGCTAAATTCACAAATTGGTCCTCGACTTTTAATTTCAATCAATTAAGTCCTTAACTTTGCAATTTTAACACAATTTGGTCCTTTATCTATTTGACCGTTTGTTGACTGCGTTTTTTTAGGATATATATGTAATTTCATGGTCTATCGTTAGTTTTTTTTAAGGTTTCGATTGCATTTCTAGACCGCACTGTTACATTTGAATCCACTGTCGGCGCTGCACCCATGCCGGAAAGATTATAGCTTTTGATAGATAGATCGCCGAAGTCCCTGGAGTGGCTCTTCGAGAAAGCCGTGACTCCAAGCGATGTAGGCAAGCTGAACCGGCTCGGGATCCCCAAGCAGCAAGCGGAGAAACACTTCCCCCCTCCGAAACGGCGCTGTCACCTCCAAGAGCGTTCTCTAAGCTGAACCGGCTCGTGATCCCCAAGCAGCAAGCGGAGAAGCACTTCCCCCTCCGAAACAACGATGTCACCTCCAAGAGCATTCTCTTGAACTTTGCACGTGAAACTACATATATATCCTCAAAGATCGCGATCAACAAACGGTCAAATAGATGGAGGACCAAATCGTGTCAAAATTGCAAAGTTAAGGACTTAATTGGTTGAAATTGAAAATTGAGAACCAATTTGTGAATTTAGCTATAGTCGAGGGATCATTTTGGATATTTACTCTAATTAAAATCACACATTGTGTATCGATGAAATTATAAATTCAAAAACACTAATTTAAAAATACACAGGACATTAACATTATTGCGTACAACAAGTGAACCACAGTCTACGACAACATGTGAACAAGGTTGTAATTAAAAGAAAGCAAACCACAGTCTACAACATGTGAACAAGGTCGTCGTAAAAGAAAGCAGACCACAGTCTACAATAACATGTGAACAAGCTAAGGTTTCCACTGGTTTTCTTCCTTAAGATGCAGAATGCTGAATTCCAAGAGGCGAGTCGCAAACAAGCAGCAAAGTGCAGAGAGTTTCAGGCGTTGAGGAGTTGATGATTTCGAAAAACTTAGTCAGAATTGGTTCAAACCTGTCAAGGCACTGTTTGCAGAATGGAGTAACAGATCAATATTTGTAAAAGGAAAGTTATAAACATATCAACACAACATTCTCGATCTGCTTTTAATTAAATTTGTTCATGATGGAGATATTAGGAATTGACCCGAACTGATCCAAGAGCACGGAGCAACGGGTCCCAGGGCGGTGCCACGTACCCGCCTCAGCGCGAAGCCTCGACACGCGGCCTCTGCGAGAGGTCGGACCGGCCTCCACACGGGGTCAGACCGGCCTCCACACGGGGTCGGCCCGGTCGCGAGACCGGGCACGGTCAACTTGAGATCCAACCACCCCCGTTTTAGGGGGAGGCGGTTGGAGGGTTTAACTTGTATAAAAGCCCCCTCATTTGTTCCTAACAAGACACGATCTATCCTACTTACATACTTTATAATAGCGAATCATTGTAATAGCCTATTTACGGCATTTAATATAATATACGGTCCTCACGACCTACGGTCCATGCTACCTTACGACATCGTTTCGTTCCGGTTATATATTTTCATATTACGTTCTTATTCGGGTTTAATAATTCGGGCCACCCCAGATTAATTAAATCCATCAGTTGTAGTATGTGGTATATTGTTAAGTAGATTGTTGAATTGTTTCCAGATAAAATTAAAGATGGAACTTTAATGGACAATTAGGAGCTGAAGCATTAAATACCTGTTGCGGGGACGGAAAATAATTAATGAGGCAAAAATTGTTAACGGCGTTAAGCATCTGGCTTTGTTTCTGCTTATCAGAATAGGTGGCGACAAGTTGTTTACACTGTAAGCACTGATCTTCATTTCCGCTAACTTGAACTTGTTTCTCTGTGGATTCCGCATATTGAGAAATGGAGGAAACAACTCCTTCACAGAACAATTTGCAGAGAGTTTCAGGCGTTGAGGAGTTGATGATTTCGAAAAAATGTTAAAATATTTTAAAATTTTCATTTATTATAGACAAATAAGCATCTAGGGAATATAATGTTTATTAGAAATTACAAATTCCATTTTTCTCCTAAATTTATTATCCACAGCCTTAGAATTTATTATCAAGTGAAAAAAAAAAAAAACAACCAAAATGGATAAGTACCTAAGAATTTTGTCTTAAGGTCAGCAGCTGCTAAATCTTTTGCACTACAGCACCAGCTGCTAATAGCAGCTAGTACAACAACAACAACAAAGCAGAGCCTTCTATCCATGCCGCCCTCCTGATCGAATCAAAACAAATATTCAACTTAACACCATGGATAATATGAAAATCAAGATTCCATAATTAATTAGGTCTCAATCTGTCCTAGTTCAGTATCCAATCTGCATTCTTTTCAAGCCCAATATTTCACTTCTTGATGCTGTGTCAAATTTACATGTAATTTTCTGAATATTCTCTTGAAGCATATATGTTTCGATAACGAAAAGTTTTAAATGTAACACAAAAGATAACGAAATCTATCAATAAGCAGATATAGAAATCTATCAACAGATAAGATGCATTTAGGGATATAAAGTGTTGCAATTGAAGCAATGAAAAGGAAATCATTGTATAGCGTACAGAGAGTGAGAGAGAATCAGTGATTGCTCTTCCGTGGGTGGCGCACTTTAAATAGTGAGACACTGAGACTCTGAGAGTGATTTCTTTTTCGTCGGTGGCATGTGCTTCAATTGTTATACCATGGAACATCGTTCATATTGTATTGTGAATCCTTATACGAAAATTATGTACCGTATATTAATATATTAGATAACTTGATAATTGTTGACGCATTACAGGTACAGAAAGTTAGAAACTATAAACTGCAGATACAAAATGTGTCAACTATAAATACAGAATCTGACTTGATAATTGCTGACATGTAATATCTATATCTATCTACTATATATATATACTAATAAGAGACAAGAGAGTTAGGCCTATAATGGGTAGAAAAAATGGCGGTCAAATTTTTTAATCAAATGAATGGCTCATATTGATCAGATTTTAATTTTTCCTTGAGATTTTCAAATTTATCCATGAATATTATTATCCGTTAACTTTTCTGTTAAATATTATCTTTTCCGTTAATTTCTGTTAGTTCACCGTTAACTTACTCATTGATTTCAATAAGAAAGGTCTTAGGTTCGAACCATATCCTAATCAAAGTTGGCATAATTAGTACTCTTGGGATAATGCCCAATGTTTTTTTTTTTTTTTTTTAAATAAGTACTTTAAAGTATATCAAGGTAAGATTATATTGGAATTGTTCATAAATAGATAATTGAATGTTGAATTTGCGTATTTAAATAGGTAATTCTAAGTTTACAAATGCAAGATAATATAGTCAAGATTGATTATAATTGTATACAATAGTTATGATGTGCATCCGTATGCACCATGCATGGATCTGATTTTTTTTTAAGTGGGACGCGCATTTTTAGTCAAAACGACGTCGTTTTTGCATCCGTATGCACCATGCATGGTGCATACGGATGCAAAAACGACGTCGTTTTGACTAAAAATGCGCGTCCCACTTAAAAAAAAATCAGATTCGATTCCCCTCAACAACATTATTGTGGATATATTGTTTGGATATATAATTATGAATTTGTGGATATATAGTTATGAATTTGTGGATATATAGTTATGAATTTATGGATACTTAATTCATTCATTGTAGATATTTAGTTCATTCATTGTGGATATTTAGTTCATTCATTCTGGATTTTGTGTTATTCATTCACTATGGATGTATAGTTATGAATTTTTGGATATATAGTTATGAATTTGTGGATATATAGTTATGAATTTGTGGATATATAATTCAAATTATGCACAAAAAAATGCTAGCTATTGCCGGGAATTGAAACTGAAATTTTTTTGTTTAAGTGGTACGCGTGTTTTTAGTCAAAACGACGTCATTTTTGCATCCGTATACACCATGCATGTGCATACGGATGCACAACATAATTTGCCAATTGAATAGGTATGGTTTAAACCAAATACGGGACATAAGGGAGAGCAAATAAAAATTAGGGCATAAAATATTAAATATATACTAATATTAAAGAGTTAAATGTTGGAGCGTTATGTTGTGCAATCGTGTGCACTATGCAAGGTCCACACGGAATTGGATCCATAATTTATATACTATAAATCCATAACTTCTATACTATAAATTCATAATTTCTGTACTATAGATTCATAATTTCTATACTATAGTTTCATAATTTATATACTGTAGATTCATAATTTCTAAACTGTAGATTCATAATTTCTATACTATAGATTCATAATTTCTAAACTGTATAGTTATCAAATTATGAACATATAGTTCAGTGATTTGTAAATATAGAGTTCAACAATTAGGAATATGAACATTGAAAATTATGAACATAGAGTTTTGTAATTGTGAATATAGAGTTCAATAATTATGAATCTATAGTATAGAAATTATGGATCCAATTGGAGCACACGGTTGCACAGCATAATTATGTTGATTGCCAAACAAAGACATTGCGAGTTAGTTTCTCACTTCAATTTGTTGTGTGATTTGAATATTCCTTTTGTCAATAAATCATCCAAGTAGTTAATATGATTGACTTAATTATATTTTTTATTTTTTTAAAACAATTATTATTATTATTATTATTATTATTATTATTATTATTATTATTATTATTATTATTATTATTATTATTAAATATATGTATACCCTTAAGTCATTTTACATGTTAATCTAAAATCTAAATAGCTAATTTTTTCAAATATCTTTTTACCAACCGTTGATATAATTCGCTGGTCAAACATGCTAATATAATCCGCTAACTGCTGATTGTCAAATAAGAACATTGCAAGGTAGTTGTCACTTTAATTTGCTGTGTGATTTGAATACTCTCTTTGTCAACAAAACCCTCAAGTAGTTAATGCTTGGCTTTATTAATTATATTTTTTAAAATTTTTTTTCATGGTATTAATAAAATACTTGGTAAATAAATATATAACATTATTTTGTATTATAACTTTGATATTTAATTAAAAAACAGCGCACAAAAAAAAAAGATAATAGACAATGTAGTGAATATAATCAATTAATGAATTTGAATGTAAAGAATTTTTACATTGGAGAAATATAAAGACAATATAACTAATAAAATTATTTCTCTTAATTAATTTATTGATAATGAATAGTTTTTTTTTTTTTTTTAATAAAGACATTATAGGGACAATATAGCGAATATAATCAATTGATGAATTTGAAAATAGAGTACTAATTATGCCAAATTTGATTGGGATGGGGTTTGAACCTAAGACACTTTTTTTTATTGAAATCAATGAATAAGTTAACAGTGAACTAACAGGAACTAACGGAAAATATAATATTTAACGGAAAAGTTAACGGATAATCATATTCATTAAGGATAAATTAGGAAATGGTAAGGAAAAATTAAAATATGATCAATTGAGCCATCCATTTGATTTAAAAATTTGACCGTAATTTTTTACCCATTATAGGCCTAACTCTCTTGGACTCTTATTAGTATAGTAGATATAAATTAATGAGTATGTTAAGAATAATAGATAGTTAACGGAATATTCCGTTATTAAAGTTTATACTAACGGAATTTAGGGTTATTTTAGGGAAGAAAATAATATAATAGAGGGTAAATAAGGAAAATCATTAAAAATTACTAAAATCAAAATAATACTAACCATTAATTTAAGAAACAATAGTACCGACATTTTTTTTTGTTCCAGTTAAGGGCCTAACATTATTGGCTCTTATTAAAATTGTATTGTAGATAATAATTTAGTAGCTACAACAAAAAATAATACATATGCATTTTTTTAATTTAGAATTATGTGTCTACAATGCCTTTATTAAAAAAAAAAAATAGTCATTATCAATAAATTAAATAAGACAAATAATTTCATTAGTTATATTGTCTTTATTTTTCTCCAATATAAAAATTCTTTACATTCAAAATTAAAATTCATCGATTGATTATATTCGCTACATTGTTCCTATAATGTCTTTATTAAAAAATTTTATTCATTATCAATAAATTAATTAAGAGAAATAATTTCATTAGTTATATTGTGTTTATTTTTCTCCAATGTAAAAATTCTTTACATTCAAATTCATCAATTGATTATATTCACTATATTGTCTATTATCTTTTTTGTGCACTATTTTTTAATTAAATATCAAAGTTATAATACAAAATAATGCTATATATTTATTTACCAAGTATTTTATTAATTCCATGAAAAAATTTAAAAAATCTAAATTAATAAAGCCAATTATATTAACTACTTGAGTGATTTGTTGACAAAGAGAGTATTCAAATCACACAACAAATTGAAGTGAGAAACTACCTCGCAATGTACTTGTTTGACAATCAGTAGTGGTTAGCGTTAGCGGATTTGACCAGCGAATTATATCAACGGTTGGTAAAAAGTTATTTGAAAAAAATTAGTTGTTTAAATTAACATTTAAAATGACCTAATGGTATAATAATAATAATAATAATAATAATAATAATAATAATAATAATAATAATAATAATAATAATAATAATAATAATTGTTTTAATAATATTTTTTTTAAAAAATATAGATGTGTTTTGGGGAAATCATTTTCAAAAACGTTATGAAAATATTGTAAATTGCAATGTTTGTATTTTTAGTGGTTTGGAACAAATTGTTACTTCAAACTGTTGAAAAACCAAAACACTTTCTTTAGTATTTTGATCTTTGGGTTACATCATATTTACTAATCGTCCAATATCTTTGGGTTACATTATAATTAGAATTTTTAAATTTTTACTACATCTAAATTCCTTAAATTAGGAATTTCTTTATCCATAATAATTTATTCAACAATAATGGTTGAATTAAACGAACACGCAAAACACTTAAAGGACCGGTACCGTTGATTCATTCATTGATCTTGTATATATGTGCATTAATTAAATATATTCGTACCCTTTGCAACAAAAATACTTGGTTACTATTTAAAAAAAGTTTAGTAACAATTATAATGAATCTCCTATATTACATTGTATTCATATACTATGAATTACATATTTAAATAAACAAATTAGACATTAAATTACTTATGTTGAACTTCTCATATATAAACTTGCATTTATATACTTTCAAATATTTATTTAATTATAAACATTGGGTAGAAAAAATAACTGTGAAATTATTAAATTAAATGAATAGTTCAGATTTTAATTTTTCTTTGAGATTTCCTAATTTATCCTTAATTATATGATTATTCGATCCATTAACTTTTCCATTAAGTATCGTTAATTTACCGTTAGTTTAATTCTAATATTAAAGTCTAATATAGAATTATAACTACAACATTAATCTAATTCTAATATTAAAGTCTTAATAAAACTCTAACCACAAATCCTACTGTCGGAATCTCCTCAAACAATTTTAGTATATATTTAATATTTTATGCTTTAATTTTTATTTGCTCTCCCTTATGTCCCGTATTTCGTTTCAACCATACCCATACAATTATTTTATTGACAATTATAATCAATCTTGACTATATTATCTTGCATTTGTAAACTT